TCCGAAAACGGCTGCACAGATGCACATTTGGCAAAATGCATAAATATTTATACCAAACACGATCCGCCAGAAATGTCGGTGGAAATTAAAAGAGCAATTTTCCAATCGGACAAAGACGAGGAAAATGGTAAACGAGGAGGAGGAGGAGGAGTCGGCGAGGCGGCGAGGTAGCCACCAAAGGAAGCAGAGATCAAACAAAGATCGAACGTGTTTTGGGTGCAAAAGTCAATTAATCATTAGAGAAAAACAAAAACGAACCGAAAACAACAAAAGCCGATTCCATGTTGCATGTCTCTCGCTTTTGATGAGGCACAGGAAGTCCGATGTTTGGTTTGGTTTGCTTAGTTTGCAAAGTAAAAGTCCCGAGCTGTGACAATGGCCAAGTTGCATTTGCACAATTAACGAACATTTTCCAGATGCCGGGGACACGCTTCGGCTAAGGCTTTTCCAGCTCCAGACGCGACTCCTGTGATCCTCGCCAAAATTCCAACAAGTACACCAATTTCAATTTGAGCTTCGGAGTCGCTTGGGATAAACTAGTTTATGCTTACTTTTTGTTCGCACTGCCTTGATGCCTTTTTAATTGCTGTGTGTTCAGTCGCTCTGTTTCTTTTCCCGCCTTTATGAGCCACCACATCTAGGGTGCCCCCACCCATTGGATCGTACGTATCCGAGTATATATGACTCGGTTTAGTTGGGGCAGTCACTCAGTCAGTCTGTCAAACGAGCGGCCAGTCATATAGGCCTGCTTTTTTAATATGCGAGGACTTTACATAATCGAACCCAGGCGACCTAAATATGAAGCAAAACTTGATATTGAGCAATTTAGGCTGACCAATTAAAAGCAAATTGGAGCAAGGGGTGGGGAAAAATATGAGTTCAAAGAGCGAGGTTGAGATGCGCCGTGTTTTGTGATGGATTTATTTGAAGTATCTGAAATAGCTTAGTTAATGAGTCAAGAGGTGTGTTATTAAAGAATTTAATTGGGCATGATTACTGTTCAAAAATCACTAAAAGCAGTAAAGTTAATGGGGTATAAAGGGGTAATATGTTTTCTTATATCTTTACATTTTTAGCAACTCTTGATCACATAAAATACTCGAGTACTCCCAAAGATAAAGAAGGCCATTAACGACTGACTAAGCGAGTTAAATATCACTTATTATCTGCCGATCTCTACATCAAGTCAACTCGAGCACAACTGTCCTTTAATTGTCACTGATCTATCGCTGATCTATCTTAGCCCAATTGATCCTATCTCTTGAGAAGATCACTTCATCTTGTCGTTGACTGGTCGATGCCATCGAGTGATTGTATCTGCGGGCTGAAGATCACTTTGGATCCGTTAACCGCGGCCAAAACGAGAAGCAGTCACAAAGAAATCAAATAGGACCACCTGAAGATCTCCGATGCGCTGTGAACCTTTCACACTTCCAATCGAAATCGAATTGGGAGTAGAAATGGAAATGGAAAACGAAAGTGAACCGAACGGACCGATCCACAGCCAAAAGATACAAATCGGGACTCTAATTGTTGGACTGTCTTCCTCGGTTTATGGCTTGTCACAGCTTGACGCGGCTTTAATTGAGTTGCGAATAAAATAGAGCTGTAAACATATCAATTACCTGCTCGTCCGACCTGCCGGTCGCCAGGCATTCGTTTTGGCCCAATTATCGCCAGACAGACACCGACTTTGTATTTATAAGTGTGTCTCTTACGCACGCCAGATATTACTACCCGCTCTTCCCCCATTTTCCCCGATTGTCCACTCTTACTCTCGTTTCCTCTGTTTGTTTTCTGCGACTGCCTTGGCAAAAGTTAGTTATGAAGATTTATCGCCCGCCGGTTCGCGCCTGCGCAGCCATCTCTTTTCCTCATTAGCTCCCCAGCCCCACGCCCCCCGCTCACCTGGATTCTCACTTTTTCTTTCGCTCCCAACTTGTTGGCTGGCATTTTATCAAAATCGAATCTGTGGCATTTCATTCGAGTCTTTGGTTTGGTGCCTCGCATACTGAGCGCCGAGCACCGAATGCCAGCCCACACATCCCCAACAAGTTGACGACAATTTCTGTTGTACTCTCAAGGAGTATTGTGATCTTTCGATTTATTTCGTAAATTAACCTAAGAATTTATTAAAAAGTAAGTAAGCTTAAATTTGTTTCTTGGAATGTTAATTAAACTTCGTTTCTGGCAGAGAATAAGTATAGGAACTATATCCGAAGTAGAGTATAAAGTAATGTGCCATAATCTTGGCTTGCACTTAACTTTATTCGAGTGTGTTTGCCGGCTTTCGTTGTGTATTCCCACTTTCCAGTGGCAGCGGCTGAGTTTGTCATTGTCTTGCAGCCATTGAGAAGAGGCCGTCGCAGTTGGAAGTCGCGTCATAGTTAAAGAAAAGCATTTTATCTATGAGTTGTCAATGCGCGGCTGCCAGGCATTGTTTTTTCTGCCTCTTCGGCTTCTGCGGCTTCTGCAGCGCGGCTTTCGTTGCTGGGTAGTTGCTGGATTTCAGCTGCCTTCGAAGGTGAATCTCAACTATTTCTCGATGGCAATCTGGCAATCGGCTGGAAAAGCGCCGAGGATGGTGGCACCCATGTTCGATGTACGTCGGACGTCGACAGAATTTGCGAACAAGGTCATGGGAGCTGGCCGAAAAGGGGAGGTGGACAGAGGGAGGGGGTTTGGGCCTGTCCATAACACATATTGCCAGCATCTCGCGGCTCATTTGGAGGAGATTTTCCGTAGACGTAGCCGTCGGTTTTGTTTTGCCAACGCATTTCACTTTCTATATTGCATTTCGAATGCATTTCTCCCTGCCACTCTTCCTCTTTCACTTTCGTTTGGGGCTCGTTAATGAACTCAAGTGGGTTTCAGTTTGAATCTCTTTCAAGTGTGTTCTTTTTCCCCCGAAATACTCAAAATGATGTCGCCCTTTTCGGACGAGCGTTCTGTGAAAGCTCTTGATCTCCGATCTCCGATCCCCGATTTTTATTTTCGTTTTCTTCCCTTTGTTTTTGTTAAGGCAGCCGAAATGTTGGCTTTTACGTCTCACCTGACAGAATTTCTGTTGGTTCCGCATCTGCATTTTGCACTTTTGGATTGGATTTCAGTTAGGAGGCGAAAACGAAACTAACAAAAGAGTTACGGGAGCGTTGGATAAGCGGAGAACGTGTTAGGTATTGGGTGCTTGGAATAAAAAAGGGTTCTAGAATTACTCAAAGGAATTCCATTTACATAAAACTGAATGGGGTACAGTTGCAGGTTAGTTTAAAAAGGCAAGCTTATCAGCTAAACTGTGTATTTATCTTTGTTTAGTTTAATAATATTAAACTTTCATTGTAACATATAATGTACAGTTTTGGACGATCTTTCTTGATTTTCTCTTAATTCTTTTAAATAATTTGTAGTTTTCTTTCATCCCCGTTGAAGGCGGTATTGTAAGATTTTTCCTGGTTTTTATCACGTTTGGCATGTGTCAAAATTTGTAAGAGCCACGCAAGAAATTTTCCCAGCGCCCGAAAAAAGTACATTGAATTTCTACATTGTCCCGAGTGCCCCCTCGCAACATTCCCTTCAAAATCCACTCGTAGCCTCCTAACTCAAAGACCGACTGGGAAAGGGATCCAATTATCGCCTGGAGTCGTCGTTGTCGTCATTTGTGCCTTTGTGTTTGTTGTCGACCGCTGACGATCGGCGTTTGTGCCCGTTTCCGACTTTAACAACTTGACCACAAGATACCTTTTGGTTTTCTTTTTGTTTGCTAAAGCAAAACGCCGTTCGTTTGTTTTTGGTTTTTCGTTGGGGATTTTTCTTTTTGTTTCGTGCAAATTTAGCTGAGTTCGCAGTTGTTTGCTGCTGCTGTTGTTGCTTTTTACAAATTGCCTGTAAATGATATTTTCACAACTCGCATCGATTGACTGCCCCCCCGCACACCGCACCACCCACCGCCCCCCGGAGCGGTCCAGAAAAGTGAGAGAGTTCGCCGAGGTTAATGCGACCAATAAATTGTAGTTGCCGATTTTTGTTGTTGATGTTCGATGCTTTATGAGCCACATTTTGCCTCTCTTTTCCACTCCTGAGATTCGAACATTTTTTTGGGTCGGGAATGCCGTTTTAGCCGCTTGGCTCTTTGGCTGTTTAGCTGTTGTTTTTGGGACGTTGAGCCTAACGGCAAATGACGGGAAATATTGAAATTTTGCAGCATAAAATTGTTTTCAATTTAATCGACATTGTCCAATTTTTCATGCCCAGCTCGTCGGGGAGCCTCGTCGGGTTTTCCTCTCGTTTTCCGTTGCTGCAATTTGAGTGCAAATATAATTAATGATAATGAATTGTTATGCGAGACGCCCTCGGTCAAAACCGCAGCAGCAAAAAATGTCGTGCAGGCCGGAGTTTGTGGGAGTTTTGTTGGCAAGTATTTGACTTTTTTCCGGGGGGGTTTCCGCGCAGCTGATTTATCACTGGAGACAGCTCGAGGTTGTGGCGGTGTCTGGCGAAAGGTTGCCATGAGAAAGGACGGGCAAGTAGTACAAGTTGTTACAGGCAGAAGCAATAAGCACCCTTTAATTTACTCGACTGGCAATCACACTTCAAGCAATCAAATCATAGTTCGAAGTAGGATTTAAATACAATTTAACATGCTAATTATTATTGAAGCAGTGTCCTTATTTTCCCCTAAGTAAGTTAATAACGTGTTATGGAATAAGAAATAAACTAAGATCTTGCCAGGGTATTCAAAATGTTGCCAGGCGGGTAAAAGTTGATGGTTTATGCCTGGGTTTCTGCAGTCAGCCTGCCATTATGCAATTTCGAGCGCATATCTGTGTCTGTGCCAAGTGCTAATATCAAACATCGGTAAACAATTTCCCATTTTCCACTCGACTGTGCGCTGTTGGTGTTGTCATTAGTCAAACTCCGTTTCCGCTCCATTCAAAACATTTCCACATAATTCGCTTATTTGTTTTAACACGCATTTATTCATCTCTGTTTTCTCGTTTCAGCCGAAAGTACGAGGATATTGAATGGCTTCGAGTTCGAGTGGATTGGATGTGCTCGCCGCAGACTCACTGAATGTCCAATGAATTTCGACTTTCGCACAATTTGCGCGCTTTTCACACTCGATTATGTGAGTAATTGTCAGTTAATTAACGTTTTCTTTCGGGGCTCAAAACAGATGGCTTTATTTGCAGTTTTTATCCATATCTCTCAATCTGCGGTTGCTAAGTGAGAGTGGTGAATTTGAGTGGCGTAATGGGCTAATAAAATAGTTAATTGGATGCCATTGTGTATGGGAGAAAAGCATGTTTAGTAGGGAACTCCTGCGATTTAGAAGTGGGTCAATGTTAAGGTCAAGGTATTAGAGATATGATGAAAGTTTTAGCTAAAAGAGTGAGTGGTGAAAATAAAACGAAAAATAAGTAACTGCCAACTCTCCAGCTAATTAGCTCCTCCAAGCCCCTTTCAAGTGTTTACCACAATTTGAGCTTTCTGTTTTCCTGCACCACTTAACCCACTAATTTGCTGGCATATTGGCGGCTGATCGGCCATTTGGGAGGTGTGACTGGGGGTTATTTACAGCTTCGGCACCTGTCACCCGTCGAAAGAGTTACCGCCTGGTCGCTCGGTGGGTCAGTAGTCATAACAAACGACTTCCCTGCTGGAAGGCGTGGCCGAATCGGGACTAGTTTTTCCTAAACATTTTTCTTTCTTGTCTTTGATAGCTTTTCTATGTGTCATGTGTAATTTGGTGGGGACCCAAAAACGATCGCAGAACACGAAGAAAACGTGCTCGAACCGCAAAAACAGACAAACACGAAACATTTATCATATGCTCAGGAATGCAGACAACTTGGACGGGGGTTCAAAGGAGGAAAAGTGGGCCGGGCGTGGAAACTGCCGCGGGGCGGGGAAATCGGAGGGGGATTAGAGCCAAAAATGTTTATAAGTTGTAGACAAATTTTGTTTGCGACAACTCGAACGGCGACACAGAAATACAGTACACATTAGCTATAAAGTCTCCCTGTTGCATTCAGAAGAATTTCAAATAAAAAGCATGACTACCTACATGAACTTTACAGTGACATAAGACAGGATATAAAACAGTTTTATTTTCTTTAGATGTTAGTTCAAGTTAAAAAGGTTTTACTGTACGAAATAGGTGGCAGATCAGGAAAGAGGGTGTTTGGGCGGCTCAGTTGTTGGAAGGTGGCGGGACAACTTTTGCATGTTACCCGAAATTTGTCCCCGCTTTTCGGACCACGATAACTTTCGTTTTTCCTCCTTCAATAGTGAACCACTTCTCTAATTGCTTTGCACCAAAATCAACAGAAATATAACCAACGAAAAGGAGTTTTGCTTTGTCTTGGTCTAAGTCTGTTTCTCCTGTGTCCACTGTCTTTCCTGTTGCCGCATGTTGCACTGTACTTGAAGTTGGTTTTTTGTTGGAGTTTATTTATCTCCTTGGTTCCTTTGGGCAGCATGTGAGGTGGAGGAGCCTTTTTGTATTTGTTTTCTTTAAGAGTTACATACACAGCATTATGATAAAGTAGAAAAGATGTAAAACTAATTTCAAAATGCCTAAAGAAGCGTAACTAAACAGTTGAATCAGTTTGCAAACCCTTTTAAACCCTCTTAAAGCTTTTAAATCTCAGCTATCTGCCTCACTCGATCGCCATATCTCGTGTAGCCGCCGATAAAAGTTTGTCAAAGTAAGACACGACCACAACAAATTAAACAATTCATTGTCTTGGGTGCCCACAAAAAGCTCTGTAGGCAGCAGACCCCTTAAATTAAACTAGGTTGCACTAGACCGCATATTGTGATTGCTTTCTGTGTTTTTGCGGTTGCAATTGTGGTGGCTCGAATGCCCCCACCACGAACCCCTCGCCACCGAAAAGGTTTCTCTGTTTTAACGGCGCTGCTGATGGTGGAAACAAGTCAATATGGTTATTGTTATTGTCGCCGGATTGCCAGCGATTTGGCCACTTGGTCAGCATTCACGTGTGCCAAAAGTGACGCCGTCTCACTTCTCTTTTCATGGCAGTGTATCTGTGTATCTGTGTATCTGTGTATCTATGTATCTATGTATCTACATCCCTCTGCAGTTAGCAATTCATTAGGTGTTGCTGCCGCAACAGCAGCTGTTGCCGTTGCTGCTGCAACTGTCTTTGGCAATTGTCAATTTATGGCATGTTGTCTGCCTTTGGGGGTCTCCTCCAATCATGGCTTTTAGCCCGGTCAACGCGGCTTGAATGGCCAAATGTGTGGCAAACGCTGGCCGTGCCAACGCGGTTCTTGGAAGAATTCGCCGAGAAGTCGGTTGCCTGTTGTCTGGTTCATATAAAATATAGCCGCGACTGCCGCTCGCCGCTGTGCAATATAAACAATATTTTAATTACGCTTTGGTCTGCGGAATGCCGATTGTCTCGGTCTGGGTCTCTCTGATTGTCCAATTCCGTGGTCGACGTGGTGTCTGCAAATGGTTTTTACTTTTGCAACTAGAGATGGAAGTTCATAAGAACTACTATTTAATGGCTACCCCTTATTTTAAAGCCAATTACTGGGGTCTTGTTCTTGCTAAGTTACCACTTGGAGGGTTGTTACTTCCCTATCTAGTCAATAAAATCACGATAGACCCAAACACCACCACTATTAACGATCTTATCGCTGCTCAGTCTTACTCATGACTTCACGCCCGAACCCAGATGATGACTAAAATACGGCCAAGTACGCGAACTTTCCGACTTTTTGTGGAACTGAAACGCAAATCGAACTCTTATCTTAGTTGGGGTCCCAGATAATGCATTATTTTATATAATTGATTAAGTTTCGGGCCACTCGAGTGCCGCTCAATTGGTTTATCAACACTACCTTATCGCGAGGCACGATTAAAGTTCATCGGAAGAAACTGGGTAAGCGAGGTAATTGGTCTTTCTTGTTTGCACTTGATTTGCTTTAAGTGACCAGCGAGCTTTTCAGCGTGAGAATAAAGTGCGATTAAGTGTGTTCACATCCGGTTTGCTAGTATCTTTAAAGATGGGCCAAAGTAGAGTAAATATTGCTCAGAACGGAAGTGAGCAAAGATCAAAGTGAAGGGAAACTGAGATGGAAAGGGTTTCGGTGCGAATCAGAACAACGAAAGTTTTGTTTTCAATTTCGACTCACTCTTATAGAGAAAACAAAAGTAAGCAGGAAATTCTGACCCAAGTGCAGTTTATTGTATTTATTAGAAGAACTAATGAACTAACCTGTTTTTATTGGTTCCCAAGGGAGAATCACCCAAGGGCTATTGCAAATCGGTAAATATTTAGATCTCTTGTGAGAAGACCTTGATTTTCAATTCCCACTAACTACGTCTAGTGGAAACATCAATGGAAATCGAAAGTTTGTGTAGCCAAAAGAAGCGATTGTTAGGTCTACTGGAATAGATTCTATTGTCATCACTGCCGGCATTTTATGGCGTGAGCAATGAGCCCTGGCAGATTTACGAGCTTCTCGAAAACTTCGTGTCTGGCATAGACAATGAATGCGATCTTCGCTATAAGAAAACCACTCCCCACAGTCCACATGTTTGTTGACTTCATTTTGGTTTCGTTGGCTTACTTCTACGCAAATATTTGTCTATTTTTAGCCCTCCCTTTGGCTGCCCCTTTACTGCGTCTCCTCTTTGTGCCTAATAATGGCCTTTGCTTTGGCTTCTTCTTCTTCTTTTTTGTCTTCTTCTTCTTCTCTGGGGGTCTCCGATCTTTGGGGTCTCGAGGTCTGCGGCCAAAACTTTATGTTCCACATGCTTTGGTGGGGGTTTTGACTTTGGTTTCGCTCGCAGATCGGTTTTCTTTGGAACCTTTGTGCTATTACCGAATGTTTACAGGTGTCTTATGCAACAGTTCAACAGGTGGCCAAACAAATGCGAAGAAAGATTCAAAAGAAAACTGTTCAGAGCTAAGTGAGTTATTATCTCAAAGAGTTAAATATTTGGTAAACGCATAATGGGGAAAATTAATTTGCATACTTGTGAACTTGTTGTCTAGTTTTGGCCATGTCATATTTAGTGGATTTTAAATGACTCTATTGGAACATTGTAAAGGCATTGATTGAGCATTCAAATGTTGAATATGTGTTGTTGCTTCTTAAGACGTATAAACCCCAATATTTATCAAATAACATAGTTGGATCATTCAATGGTATCTATTTCTCCGCGGAAGCCTTACGAAACCTATAAAACTCAAACGTTAGCTGGAAATTCGTAGATTCCCAATTTCCCCAAGCTACTTGTATTTTTTCTACTTTTGAAAGGCCTTTACATTGTTAGTCACTCGCGAATGCGATTCCCCATTTTGCATGCAGACCGAGTGGAAATTAGCATAAAGGGGGAACTGTCAGATGGCAGCGATTCCTGGTCCCCATTCCCAGTGCAGGTTCCATGAGTCATAAAGGAAACATTCGATTTTATAGCTAGCACATAAAAGAGTTAATGCCTCTGCCGCATTCATTTCTTAATTATGGTGGTAGGTTTAGGATTGTCTCTCAAAACCAAATTAAAAAGTTTAAATGCAGTTCAAGAACCCAATTATAAACGTTTTAATTAAAAATTGGAAATTCTATGGACTGTGGAATTGCAGAATTGGGTGGCCCAATGTTGCACTCTATTAAACGCAGTCTTATTAAAAAATGTATTTTATTTATTATGAATTTCTTTGGATTTATTTTGGATCTGGCGCTCAAGTTGCTTAATAAACGTTTGCAGACCATTTTGGGTATTAAATAACTTCCACCGCCTTCTTGGCAAAAAAATTTGCATATGAATATGGCTGACAAGAGTTTTCAGCTTCTAATTTCGTATGAACATTTTTGCCTGCGCCGCGATTAGAATCGTGTTCATTGTTTATATTTCTCTGCTGTCCGGGAGTCGTTGACCACAGCCATTGAATTAGGTAACATTTTGCATACGTAGTTACCATATGATCCACGATTCCTCCGACCACTCCGCGATGTAATTATGCAGTTATGTATGTAGTTAGCTGTCTGCGCGTTACAGTTGCTTTTAATTGCCGTTCACAGCTTCGTTTTGTTTACTTTGCTGTGGGTGTTATCTGCGATATGAGATCTTGACTGAGATATGGCCACTGCAATCAACCGAAGTTCGTTGAGGGTTATTATGCTAATTAAGGCGGGGAGTGTGGGGTCGCTGAGATTGAGATAGAGGGTCTTTCATCACAGTAAGTGTGTTGCAACATCTGAAGAGATACAGAAAAATAAACAAGCTGAATTTTGGAAACATAGATAGTGAAACAAGTGAATGCAAGAGAAAAAGTGATCGTCTATACGTAAAATATTACTACCTTTCGGTAAAACCAACCTTTTCCGGGTAAACGATCAATGATCTTTAAAATCTTAGTATATTTACTGCACCTGCCTGCAACCCATGGGATCCGCGTGATGCATAAGTTGGGGCAAGCAATGCTTGTAGGAAATGAATCCATATTAGAGATCCCAGTGCAATTCGCTTTCGTATTTTAATGGCTTTGCCTATAGAAATAATACCCATCATTAGTAGAAGAAAATGTGAAACGAATAACTGCAGCACAGCTAATTATGGTGGTCTCCCTCCGATCATAATCATCATTTCATCACAGCCCACCCATTTTCCTCCTAATTTGTTTGATTTCCTTTTGACTAATGCGCAAATTTCCCTACCCGCTTGTCTCGTTTCAGTGGAATTAATTTAGATACGTAAAGCCGACATTTTATCAAAATAACGAAAAAGTATTTTGCATAAAAACGAACGAAAATCGAAAGGAACGCCTGAAGGTCATTGCCAGAGAGCGGAACGGCGGCAACGGAACGGAAAACAATGGAAATGAGGGGAAGCCAGGCAGACATGCAAATTTCTGGCGACTTTTGAGGGGTTTGATTACCATAACTCGCTCTCTAAATAACACAGTATATCCCCCACATGCACACATGTCAAAAAAAGCCAAATAAAGTTGAAGAACAATGGAAATGCAACAGGAAAACGAGACGGGGCGCGAAAGGGGGACCCCACAACCAGAGAAAGAAGCAGCGATGATAAGCAACCAAGAGACTGAAAAAGCGGCCATGATAAAGGGTGGAGACGAAGGATCGGTTAGGGAATCGGAGTGCCCAAGCGAAACCACCACCCGAAATCAAGAAAACACAACGAAACCCCCCAACACTGGATGGTACTTTTGCCATACCAGCCACGCCCCCGAATAGGGCGGGGCTAACCACAAAATCGGCCAGCAGTAGCCGCAGTAGTTCTCTCAAGAAGCAGAGGCGTGGTTCAAGAGGAAACGCAAATTCCAACGGGAAAGGAACTGAAAATGAAGTTGCTAAGGGCGCCGTCAGCGGCGGTCAACTTAACTACGGCAACGACAGTGTTGGAAACGACTTAATGAAGCAGTCACAGTCCATGACGTCATTGCAGGCCTCAAACGAGGAGCAGCAGGAGCGACGTGACGTCATCCAGGCCAAGCTCCATTTGGAGCGGCCCTACAACAGCCTCAAGGTGAGTGATCCCAAAATGGAAGTGGGTTTTATATGTGAAATGGAGTACCAGTATCCATCAGGTAATGGCTGCGTTGTGTATGTGTCCGCATAAATTTGCAATTGTTCATAAGCCAGTGAGTGGAGGCAATACTCTTTCAAAAACAGACACAAAAAGTACCCTTTGCGCAAGCACAGTAGTTTTATCAATACAGGTAGTATTACGAGGAATTTGAAGAACTTAGAAACAGGGTATTACAAGTTGGTATATATTTTTGATACCTGTTGCAGTCTTCGTTAGACACGCTAACAAGTTTCTTCTCTTAAAAATGAGAAGTGCCCGTTATAATGGTCTACTCTCCTGTTCTTGTTGTTGTTATTTCCCTAATGGAGAATGTTAGTGTGTGTCTGTGTCAACGGAAATTGCTTTAATAAATTATTAATAAATTCCCCGATTAGCATGCCTTTTTGAAACCGAGTTGCAACGGTTAAATGTGCAAGTAAGTTGGCGCCACTGGCCATGAACACAAATTGCTAATTTATGCTCTAAACTGGAAAGTCGAACATGAATCCGTTCTTCTTTTACGCAGGCGGAAAATGATCTAATTGCTGGGGACACAATTAATTGACTGCTCTATGCAAGGGTGAAAAATATTTTGGTTATTATAACGGGGCGTGTTCAATTCGTGTAAACAAATCCTATCAGCGTGGGCCTAACACAAAGTCTGCATACCAAAAAGATTTGGCCCAGTTCTCACAATTTTCGAGATATATCCGTCGATAAAAATCTGTTGAATTTTACAAGAGCAAGAGCACCGAGATATTTTTCAAGGCCTCCAGGTGTCACAGCTTGCATATTTCACAGCTTATGCGGAGGCAATCTTTTCTTAGTCACTGTGGGCAAGTTTTTTGTCCGAAAGGCGAGTCACTCGGCGATAAATCCCTCCCCACACCCCCTTTTCCAGCTCTGCTGCTGCTCGTTCATTTAATCAATTACTCAAATCAGCAGGAACAGCAACGAGTCATTCCATCAATAGCACACTCGCACACACCATTTCATTTTGGATTTTCAATTTCGTTTGCTTTTGGAACTGTGATTGCATTGCGATTGTGTAAATAAGGAATTTCCTTCCACGATTTCAGTACGAATAGGGGACTTTCCTGGACAAATGAGCAAAATGCATTAATTAATTGCGCGCGCTTTGCAATTTGGAGTGAGTCAAAACCAGTTTCCTGAGCGGCCTAGAGCTGAATCAATCTGAATCGCGGTCTCCCAAGATGGCCAAGCATATTGTTTCGGCCGTATTTGGCACGCCTCAAATTACTTATTTATTAACAACTTTTAGCGGTTTCCACCTCCCCTCCTCTTCTCAATCGCTTCTTTATGTCTTTACGTCTCTATGTTCGTCTTTGCCACTTCAGAGGCTTTATTTTGAGGTGCTTTAAGTCAATCAACATTTGTCAACATTTTTTATTGGTATTTTTTTTTTTATTTTTACGAATTTTACTATGTAAGCTTGTATGTAGTGTTGGAAACTGATATAATAACAAAATGTGAATACTTTACTAGCCCTTATTGTAGTCCCTTGTACTTGCAAGTTGATAAAAGGACTAATTTTCTTATGGTAAAAAATGTATTTAACTTTTCAGAAAAACTCACACAGCAATAAAATGCACCGTTATTCGTGGGGAAGTGGAAACAGTCAGTGCAGTTCGACCAGTCTGCACAGCAGCGCCACCTTGGGGCTGGGCTCGTCGGGCAAAGACGACCTCTGGGCGGCCATTCAAACCAACTACAACTACATCATGGACACAAACCTCTTGGACACTTGCAAAGAGGCGCGCTGTGAGATAGAGGGCGCCGCCACAGTGCTGGAAAAGTCCAGCGAGTCTTGTTTTAAGGTGAGCGATCTTATGGGATAAGTTTAAAATGGTATGATTAAACTTAACATTCACTAATTTACTTGTTCAGATGCTCGATGAGGCCCAACGACCGGAGGGTCTCTGCGAGGATCCCAAGGAGTTAAGGCGTTGGCTGCGCGAAATGGAGAACAAATTGGAGAGTTCGCCGACCATCACGGAACTAACTTTGTTTGGCAACGCGGACTTGCAGCGCCATCTAGCAGTACACTCGGTAAGTTTCGATTTCTTACTTAATTTTTTTGGAGAATACTTTGAGGATCAAGAAATATATGTTGAGTATATTGCCTACCAATTCTACTACCTTTTTCCAGTAATACTCACGAAAATTGTGGGAAACGCTTTTAGAAATGAAACAAGTTTTTTACTCTTCATCAATGGATACTATAAATTAAATATTTTTTATTGCCTAAAGCAAAGAAAATGGCGATCTGCCCTTTTCAAAGCAGACTTTAAAAAGAGCAGACTTTAGAAAAGATTACAATTTGACAATTGCTTTCTAAAAATATTGTAATTGTGCTGGGTAAAAGTGTAACAAAACATGAAAAAACAACACCGAAAAATGCAATTTTACGCATTTTATTAGACCGCTTTTCTGTTGGCCCCAATGACTTGAGTTTTTCGCTTTTCTTTGGGGTTTCCCCCTCCAGGGGCTTCCGTTAGTGCGTCTCGAAGTTGTGCAACTAGCTTTGGATCTCAGGCAGGGAAAAGACCGAATCCGTCAGTCATTCTCATTGCGCCGCACCGCTGGCTCAAAACCCCTCGATCCGCAATCGCCGATCCATTGAGTTCCCCTCGAAAATCAAGACAACAATGTTCCCTTGTTTTCTTTGCTCTTTTTCCATTTTTTTGTTACGAAAATTTATTGAGCTGAAAGTGAAAATTGCTGCGAGGGAGAGGAAAGGGGTCTCGAGATAACCTCATCGAACCTGGGTTGATAATTGGCATTCGGACGTTTGTAACACCTTCAATCGAGAGTGAATTCGACGTCTCTGAATTGCCCACAGATTTGTTTTCTGCACTTTTCGGTTTTCGGTTTTTGGTTTTCGGTTTTCTGTTTCGTATTTTTTGATTTAGGGGGATTTTTATCTGAACAATGTCCATAAACAAGGCTCTGGGCTGCCCATATTATGTAATTGTGTGTGAGTTTTTGAAAATCTAAGACGGAAGAGAGACTTGCGTCTTGGACTCCGCCTTTGGCTTTGATTTGTGTCGGATTCAATTGAGCTTTGACCGTGACAGAAGTTAATCAGTTTGGGGAGGACTATTACATAATCTATTAACTGAAAAAACTCATTAAAAACTCACATTCTTACTTCAGTCCCCCGAAAAAGTTAATTTTTTTTACCCACTTTCGTGACCCATTCAGGAACTGTTATTTTTTGGCTAATTGAAAATTCCTTTTAAGCATTGTTCAATGGAATTCCACTCTTCCTTTTCTCGTCTCGAAAAAACGCAGCCGGCCACGAGCCAAATGAAAGTAAACAAAACCAATAGACCAGAAGAAAAACCGAAAGAGTTGGGTTTGCATTGTGGGCAGTTAGCCGAAAATGCTCAAGACAAAAACTAAGCTCGCTAAACTCGGACTGGCTGCCCCTGATTTACGACAATTGTTTTGTCACGTTGTCGATGGGAGAAAGAGAGCCCCAAAGAGCCATGCAGCCACAGAGCCATGGAACCATGGAACCATGGAGCCAGGCAGCATCCACGGAGTGCGGCAGCACCGAATGTCAATTGCCCAAAATGGCTAAACATATTTCCAATAAGTTGTTAGGCGTTTGTCTCTGTCAATTGTCCGTGGCTCCAGTGGCTGCTTCTGCAGTTCCCGGGGGCGGAGACACGCATTCGGTGTCCAAGTCCGAACTGTTAACTAGAGTTCCAATTCCACAAGCCGATCGACGCAATCAAGCCCCGCAGCAAATAAAAACTCTTGCAACCGAAGCCCAAACTCCAAATGGAAAGGCAGCTGGGGAGGATGGAGATCGAGATTGGGTTTGGATTCGGATTCGGAATCGAGATTGAGAGATGATCGCCGTGAAGCAAAAGCCAAAATTTGTCAGCTGCCGGACAATGTCGATGGCCATAACGAGCCGAGATCTCCGCTGCAGACTGCATTTCCCCAAGGTCCTGGCTGCAATCTCCTTTTTAATTGAAAGCCAGCCCAAAATCAGTCGAAAACCATTGAGAATAAGTCTGTGGGATTGGCTGAGACTTGTGGGAAAGATTTCAGGATAATGTTGTGAATGATTCATAGATGTATTGCGATGCCCTTGCTAGCCTAGTTTTGGGTCCTTTGGGCAAACCATCTAAGAAGTTGGAAATTCGACACATGAACAGGGGTCAAAATACCGACCCCTTGATAAATAGAAAACTTTGAATGGAGTTGTTTTATGGATGCGATTGCAAACGTTTAGAGGTATGTCACTTTGGAATCGGATTAAAATTAGCAAAGTTATGGCTTAAGGAAGTGTAGTTTTGGGTCTCCTATGGGCTAACCATCTGAAGAGTTGGAACTTTTAGTTTACCCTTTATGCAATTTGGTAGACATTTGTAAAGACTGCTAAGCTGTGTGAGTTTTCTTTCTTGTTCCCTTTAATGTTGTTTTATTTACTATTTTAAGCTATTTAACCTTTACTTCCATTCCTTATTTGTATTCCATATTTGTGGGTTAAGTATATAGTAGTCGTATATTTGTAACTTAGAAAGTCCAGCTTAAGTGTGCTTCCTTGGTCAAGTGCAATGTAATTTATAGTTTAGAAAGTACTGATAAAGTGCACTTCCTTGGTTAAGTAAAATGTAAAGCATGCGATACAATCGGATGTCTCTCTTCCTGATTAGTCAAGATCTAAATCTTAGCTAAGTGTTTGCTTTTGGGGGTGTAAGCCAACCCAATGCCACCTGCCACGTGAATTTGCTGTTCTGGTCAAGTGAAGCGTAAACAATCTTGTTCCCTGTCGCCTGCGAAGACAGGATGTCTTTGTTTCCGACCAACTGGGACCACCGAAAATGGTCAGGACAAGCTGCCGCGTGACAAAAGCGAGAAAATAAGCTTATTTTCGCTGGCTTCCCTGGAAAAGCCGGAGGAAAAGTGAAGGTGGTGCAATTTGGAGCTGGAGCCTGGCCGCGCGATTAGCTAAGAGCTGCGACCATATAATATAATCGCATTGACAATTTCGATTTCGTGTGCGGGAGTCGAGGAAGTGCTCCACTTTATGGCAGTCATAATTTCATGTTTCGCCCCGATAGGATTTTGTATTTTGGATTTTGGATTTCGATTTGGTTCGGTTCGCTTTAACTGGCCAACTGCTTACTGCCTGCTTGTCCGATTCTATCGAATGGGTGTCCATTGTGTTCGCGGCAATCTCCCTCCGCCGGATTTGCATAACAATTGCTGGCTGTAACCTTTCGCCCAATAAGTTAGCCCCACTCTGGACTCGCATTCAAGCGCGGATTGGGACTGGGATGCCGACCATGTGGCCAGCTGCCAGTTGTGAGTCGCTAGTTTGGAGTTGTGAGTTGAGAGTTGCCAGTTGCCAGTTGCTGGGCGGCAATAAAACATTTACCACCGAATTGGCCCAGCCGGGGTGTAGTTAGTCCAACTTCAAGTCCGAGTCCGAGTCCGAATCCCACTTGAAATTCAGTTACGAGTCGGTTATAGTTCAACTTTCGCGTTAAGTGAACCTTTAAGTAAACTTTCCATTTTATTTGCCAGCGCTTAGCCGAAATTGGCTCTAACTGAATTGTAATTGCGACCATGTGCAGTCATTTAGCAGTTGATTAAAGGTCATGGGTATTTAAATGGAGTTTATGTGCATCTCGTGTAGGGAAAAGCGATTTGAGGGTGGACATGCATACTTATTTTTTTTAAACAAATGAAGGATAGAAGTCTAGGTGGAAACAACTTCAATCCTATACTTAATCCGGATTTAGAGACCTCAAAAAATGGTTGATTAACAACCGTTCAAGTGCATCACCCACACCACAAAAGTCAACAATCCCAAGTCAATCCAATCTCCACTTATCGCTTACAATCGGATCAGTAGACCTTTCTCTCCTCTTCGATCCGAAACACGCCCAATTTCATAAGAGAGGGTCTCTCAAGTTCAATCGAGTTTCACTTTTCCCCGTGATTTAAATTAACAATTAAAGCGGATAATTAACAAAATGAAAACAAAAGCAGCCCCACCAAACCGAAGGCAACTCCTCTCGCGCGGCCAAAGGAAAATATTATTACAAACTGGTGGATAATTTATCAAATGAACTGCGGATCTTGGGCAGCCGCTGACGATGAAGTCATTACCACAGACAACAAACCACACAAAAGGAGAGACGGCCCAGAAAGCCATAAAAACAAAGACTACGTCACATGTGAAGCGGATCAAACGATTTCGTCATAATCGAGCAGCAAATTGCTTTTTCCCCTCTAATAGAGAAATAAAATTGCCAAACTCTGGGCGAGAAATTTATTTAAAGCTCGAAAGGAATGGAAGTTGAACTGGAATGGTAGCAGCTTAACTAAAACTGAAACTGAAACCAAAACCGAAATGAAATGAGGGGAAAATTAAGAAGAAAAAGCTAACAATAAATCTTTTGGCAATTGGAAAAACAAAAGCGGCTGAAAAAAGGCCCCAAAAGCATGATCACAAAATTGACTTTCGAACACAATTTATTTTTATATTTTCTCTGTTTTTGTATTTCTTCGGCTTTCCTAGCCGCCTGAGAGTTTTTCTAGCCAGCGATTTAATAACCCGAATAAAGCCGAATAAAAAACAATGAGAAATGCATGTACGATCCATTCAGGTTCATCATTAACACGGAGATCGAACCGGGGATCGGGGAAAAGGGAAAGGCGGTTTGGGGCTCTGAATTTCCAGCGGGACTCGAAGGCTTTGTCGCCACTTTAATTGGCTCAAATTAAAGACGAGCTGGGATTGGGTTTTAATAGATAGCGAGGGGAACGGGGAGGAAGATGCAGCTGCAGCTAAGAGGCGTTACTTTTTCCGCTGATTAATGAAGAAATTTTCTCTGCAAGCTGCCACCTTGTTAACGACTTTATGTGTGACTATTCGCAAACAGCAAACCGAGCGAGGTGAAAATTTAATTTAACAAAATGTCCCATAAAATAATCAGCGACCCAAGAAACACCTCTGGTGTGTGAGCCATAAAACCATATATTATATGGCGCTGCGAAATGTGAAATGTGAAAAATGAAAAGTGCTGTTCACGAAAGGGAGCTAAACCCATTAATTTCCTTTTACCAAGTCCAAGTTTTGTTTTGTAGCACCCTTATATCACGACGAAATTGAAATTACTGAATGTTGAACTTATAATTCATCCCAACTTCTTGATTTTTTAAAGGAAACAATTTGAGGTATTCTTTGTAGTTTGTTTATTGGTGTATTAATGTCGAGTCGAAGTCAGGGATGCTCTCTTCAGTTCTAACCGTGGTAGATGTGGTGTCCGTAGGTGGGGACGGCGTAGGACTTCAGCACGGGCACATGCTGCACCACAGGGACGTGCTTCACCACTGGAACGTGCTGCACCACCGGTACGTGCTTCACCACCGGAACTTCCTTGATCACGGGAACATGCTTCACCACGGGAACCACGTGGGCCACAGGAACCACTCCGTAAGATGGCTCAATGTAGCTGGGAGCAGCGCAGGCAACCGCGAAGAGGGCGAAGATCACAGCGATCTGAAAATGAATGATTGGTACTCCAAAGGATACACTTTTGCTTAGTATACTTACAATGCGGAACATCTTGATATACTGTTTTGTGTGTTGAACTTAAGCTCTGGGGTTATCACACTTTTGTGCTAGTCGGTTGACTGTTGATGATTAGCCATCCGTGGCACCACTTATATAGTATTTAACACCTCGGCCAAAAATAATCCCCCAAATGACTTCTGTTCGAGCGCCACGCGCCAAACCAGTTTAATTATAACCAATTTTAGATAACTTCGGTTGGTGCGCATTCTATTTTGTTTCATCTCCAGCGGCGGACTTCCCGTTATCGGTCGTTATTGTTCAACCTTTGGACATAATCCCCATTCAATAACTCTTCAATTGTGTGGAGCCTCAAGATCCGCCTGCCTATTATTGTTTACTTCCCAAGATCATTGTCATTATATCGATCGACTTCACGCGCTTGTGATGATCGTCGAGAACCAAGGTTGCGGCCACAAAGAGACCTACTTGAAGACGCCCCTGGGTCAACTGATAGATCCATTCTCTCAATTAAACCAAAGAATTCTTTGAAGTTATGGCTAAACAAGTTTGCTTGTTCGGAGGCAGTATTCAGGTGACCGACTATATAAAGTAACTGATCTGCTGGTCAATCATCAACAGTCTTCCGACCAACTCTCAAGTGACAAAATCTAAAGTTACATTTTCGAACACAAATCCCAAGATGTTCCGCATTGTAAGTACAAGGAGCTGTATCTTTGGTGACTACTAACCTAAAACCTTCTGTTCAGATCGCTGTGGTCTTCGCCCTCTTCGCGGTTGCCTTCGCTGCTCCCAGCTACATTGAGCCATCTTACGGAGTGGTGCCTGTGGCCCACGTGGTCCCCGTGGTGAAGCATGTCCCCGTGGTCAAGGAAGTTCCGGTGGTGAAGCACGTCCCGGTGGTGCAGCATGTCCCAGTGGTGAAGCACGTCCCAGTGGTGCAGCATGTGCCCGTGCTGAAGTCCTACGCCGTCCCCACCTACGGACACCACATCTACCACGGTTAAATCTAAAGAGAGCACCACTGACTGCGACTCGACTCGAATAAACCTCGAACTAAATAAGAAAATAATATCCCATGTTGTTTTGTAGTGCTGTTTGGTGAAACAGATTCACTTCAAAGGAGCTCGAATGCACTATAAAAGCTCTCAGATCTATTGAACAACTCCCAGTCAAAAGGCAATATTTTCGACAGTTGCATCCCGCAATTCTTTTTGTGAAGCCATTAAGTTCTGCCACGGAAAACGGCTTCGTCTCGTTGGATTGCAAATTCTTCACGCAATCCGCACATGCTCCGAAATCTGGTGCACAAATGTGTTTCCTCCTCCTTTTTTTTGCATTAGGGGCTCGTAGTTTATTTGGCACGGATCGAGTGATAAAAGCCAAATGTGCGCTTCGTTCCAAGCACCCGAAAGATGCAGAGATTCAGCTGTTGCGTGGAACACATCTGGCAGACGGCTCGAAATTGACTCCTCGGACAGACTGACGGTGATTAATGGGTGCGGAGAGGGTGAGATACTTTTTAAACGGTAGTTAAAATCTGCCCAGCACGCGAGAGACAGAGTTGGCCAAGATGGCTGAGTGAAATGTTCGCCGTTGGCATTGAAAACTTCTATAAAACACAAATAAAAGGAGGGAGGCTTTCTTCTTGACCCACTTTTGGCAGACAGAAAAATTTATTTGCCTTCACTGGCTGTTTGGTTGGTTGTTCGGGCTCTCCGAGAATTGTTAACAGCAATTTAGTAGCTCTCCGCTTCTTCTTCTCCGCCGCTAAGTGTATTTTATTGTTTGCCAATTGCTGTTGTTGTCTTGTTAACGCTTTTTATAGCCGCTTTTTGCTTTTCGGCCAACTCTATTTGTCGAGTCTTTCTCCCGAGCGGAGCGGCCCATGCAGATGTGTCTCTAAGATACATTCATTAACTTGTTTGCAACTGTAGCTTTGCAGTCCGGCTTCCCCTCGCCGGTGATTTATGCCTTGTCCAGCTTTTGTCTGTTTATTTAGACATTTCCTATGTGTTGTCGCCTCAATTTTTCCTGCACTTGCCTAATTTTTTCATTTTTTTTTGTTTTGGCTAATTAAAATAACCAGGTAATTGTGCAGTTATGAGGAGTGTCTCGAAACCGTGGAGTGGTGGAGTGGTGGAATGGTGGAAGATTGCGAAGACATGCAAGTGTTCAGACCTCGTTATGGCCATGAATATGCATTGGCGCTTTTGATGAGCTCTCCGCTCCTCCGCTCATCTGTTTTTGTGTGGAGAAGTCAGAGGCGTGCCCAGGCAATTAGTTCGGAGCTGGGCCCTTCGATAGAAGCCCCGAGGGCTATTTTGGCACGTTGTCAGAAGGTGGAATGCTGGGGAGGACAAACGGCTTCAATCAGGCAATCGGGCTGTGCTCGGGGGCAAACCCGTTCTCCATTCTCGTTCTCCACTCCCAGAAGCCGGTGAATGGGACAGGCTGCAGGGATTCCTATTAAAGATCGGCTCATAAATAGAATAGGTTACGGACAGTTTGCGACTTTAATAGTTCGCACTTTAATAGAAGTCCGACGTGTTGGCGAGTTCGTTAGGGTGAGTCCTTCGGAGGCGTGTTTCAACTATTATATGTTGTTGGAGAGCATTCATAAAGTTCGAATTTTACCTTTATGGGAGCACTTCAGTTCGAATCTCCCCTCTACTTCTACTTCGAGATGGTTCTACCAATCTTTCAATCCATACTTCGCATTCGAGAGCACTTCTCTGCTGGCAAACTCGGCCTGTTCGATGTCATCCATCTGCTTCGTGTTTGTGGTGCGGCGGCCAACAAATAACAAATAAGGGAAAAACTTGTCAGCATCGCACACGTTTTCCTCTGGCTTCTGCTGGCTTCGGCTGGCTTCTTGGAAAAGCGGGGCCGGCGCAAGAATCTCTTCTATTTCCTTGGGAAACATCTCTGGCATTCGAGTGCGTTGTCTTTGATTCGGATTCTGATATCGAGCTGGGATTCTGACCGCTCTCGATTCGAAGAGATGAGGCCTTCTCAAAAGGCAGTCGTTGCTCCGTGATCCACTTTAGAGTCAGTTTTGAGTTCGAGGCGCGTGCGAAGACCACAAATCGATGCAGGAAATCCGATTTGTGGTAAAAGTTTTTCTCTTTTTCTCCCCCAGTTTTCCCCATCAGAGTTCGCTTTACTTTGGCAAGTTGCCGTTTAAAGTTGTTGCGCTAAGTAGAAATATGTGCAAAACGGCGGTTGTGGGGCTTCTGGGAAATCAAAGCCGGTGGTCTCGAAAGGCGGAAGAGTGGGCGATGGGTGCTAGGTGTTAAGGGGTTATATCCAGTTGCGATTTTGAAAAAATCGAAATTTTTTTTTTGCCTATTTTGAATGTATATATATCTAAGAAGATTATCTGAAAATTTCAAAGTATTCCGGTAAATAGTATTGGAGTAATCAGTGTATTTGTAAAGACGTCTCCCATGTAGTTCAACTAGTAGCCAAAACTTTAAATGCGTTTTTCTCGAAACGATGTCTTCAAAGTCGGTGAGGAAAATTTCTCAGAGACGGCTTGACCGATTGACTTGAAACTTTCACATTCTCTTCTTAGATATTTTTTTCAGGTAATGAGACTTGGAATTTTGGCTCCGAAAAAAATTTCGATTTTTTTAGCCACTTCAAAGTTGAAATTTTTGTGACAAAAACAAAGTTTTATGTTTGGGAAGCCGCCATTTTGTCAAAAATCAAAATTTTGAAAATCCCAAGTCTCATTACCAGCATTTGTCTATTCTTTGCGTAATCCTTTTGGTTTTTTGTATTTCTGATTATTTGGACCGGAGATATTTTCCTCACCGCAAAAGCCTTTTTTGAAGTGGACCCTCGGGAGATTCTCTACAAGACCGACGGAGTCAAAAAAAATTTTTTTTTTAAATGTATTCTAAAACTAGAAAAAATTACCTATCTTTTCATATACAACACGTATACATACAATAAATAGCCTCTCCAAAAATAATTTTCAAAAAAGCTCATTTTTTTGGCCTCGCAACTGGATATAACCCCTTAAGGGTTGTCTTGTCGCGGGTTAATAGTCGTTAAACGTCGCCGGGGGTCAGTGGCTTACCAGGGATCAAGGATATTTGAGATGCGGATGAGGTGTAAATGGAAGAGAGAAGCTCTTAGACCAACGAATAATCTTTTAGGGTCAAATACTGATCAAGACAACTTCTTTTGGAACGAGAAGCATGCCGCAAACAAGATTCCTAACTTAAAAGCCAGTAAATAACTCTGCACAGTTTAAAGTAATGGATTTCCCCCTTTGCATTGATTTTATAGCCATCACCATCACATAAAAACTTATTGCAGGTCAATCAGTGTTCACTTGATTAAGTTTATATCTTCATTTTAACTCCGTAAACAAATAAATGAGAAAGTCAGGATATTCGCAAAGAGGCTTCCTTATGACACTTGCAGTTGAGATCGCTTTCCTGCTGAAGAATAAATCTTCTGTGCTTTGGCTCTGCCTCTTATTCCCTGACTTTCTTCTCGACCATGACTATCGTCATTAAGGCGAGTCCACGGAGCTAAGGCCATCTGATCGATTTATGCAAATGGTACTCTAATCTTCGAGCGTTTCTTTCTGCGATCGCGGCGAATAACAATTCGTCATTACGGCAAACAAAGATCGAAGACCAGTTTTCACCTCCGTCTAATGATGTTTGCCTCACTCATCCTGATCCGCTGCGATCCGCTTGTAATCAATCCCATCCCGGGATGCCGACTTGCCAGGGGCAAGTTCAAGTTGCCAGTTCTCCGGAGCGATCTCCCCTTGGATCGCCTTGGATCTCCTTGCATCTCGCGTTTCATCCTTTCCACTCCACCTGGCCCGGCTGAGTGGATGAGTGGCTGAGTGGGTGGCTCAACATAATGGGGGGATCTGCCGTTAGTCGGCTGCATCCCGACCGACAAACTTGGAGCCAGACCACGGACTCAGCTGCAAATAAAATAAGAGTCGACTTCAACACTCGACTCGGCTTAATGCCAAGTGCCGCCGAAGAGAGGTGCGTGGGTGGGCCCACATGGGAAGACAACTGGGTCTGCAACTGCGACTTTAAAGTCCCTGCACTGCAAAAAATTACTAGATTTTACTCATATCATCAAAGTAGGAGGTCACCAAGATGGAAGAGCTTGCAATGAGTGAAGGAAAAGGACTTAAAGAACCAAGTTATTTTCGTCAGTGAGCGATTGTGCTTCATTAACACTCGCTGCTCGTTTGCCTGGGCCTCTTTTTGTTTGCCGCTCTTTTTGACACCAAACTTGGCGTCACTTCAAAGCCCTGGCGATTAATCTTGAGTGGCGGCGGATGAGGGGAAAGGGGACTTCCCCAGCCAGATCCTCCAGATCCGGTCGAGTCTGCAATTTGCGGGCATTTTGTTTTGCATTATCCGAGATTCTGTGCTGGCAAACACCGAACAACAAGCAACTCATTTGCCACTTTTCACACCCTTGGAGCGGAGTTTTCACTTCTCCGCGGCTGAGGTGAGGCTGAGCTTTAGTCGCAAATGGAGGAGCCGCCTCATAAATCATCGCCCAGGCCACCGGTGGGCGTCGTCCGACGTCCATTATTGGAAGTGTGCGCCTGCGCAGGCGCAGCTGCTCACCCTCCCCCTGCTTTTCCCCTCCCCTCCCCTACCCTCTCCGTTTTCCCCAACTCATTGTCAGCTGCAAAGGTGCCAAAGAATCGCACAAACTTCACGGCTGATTTGGGGGATACGGCCAGCCGTATTTACATCGCCCGCCAGATTGCCAAACGATTGTGGAGCACTGGGTCAAGTCAGTCAGCTATTCAACCATTCAGTCGGTGAGTCCGTGAATTGAAGTGGGAAATTCTAAGGAAATTGCTTTATTATTCGCTGATTGAAATCAATTTGGCGTGCGAATGAGATTTCCACATCGCCCAGATCCACGGAGATCCCAGTCGAGTGGATTCAGTGGGACATTCCGGATCAAGAGTTCACTGGACTGAGCGGCTTTGTGGGGGCAACGCGGCCTTAGCCAATATGGATATGATTGGGTAATAATCGCTGGGGAGGAGCCTTCTGGCCA